ATATTTAAGAGTAAAGTTAGGAAATGTGTTTGAAAATGCAAAATGTTCTTAAGAATGTTCGTATCTGTTTTCTCAATATTGTTGTGAAGACAAACATTTATTTGAATTTGAATTAATTTGAATTCCAGAAGATAATTTTATGCAAAGAAGTTAATATCCTCTTAAAGTAAGGACAGTGTCCACTGTGTCTTAAATCTTGAATTTTAGAAGAAAATAAGATGTACTTATGTAAAATCTAAAATATTTGATAATGTCTTAAGAATTTTTCAAGAATTGAACTTACAAACCTCTTACAATTTATCCTATAATGAATTTTTTATTTTATTTTATAAAAATTTTTTTTTTAGTTTCTCAGCTGTTTGAAACATGCGTGTAAGATCCTGGAAAGAAAAACATGAATATACAGTACATAGGATCTCTGATTATTTTGTGTGTATAGTGTTACTGATTTGAAAAAGTCTCAACCACTGTTTAAATCAAACCTATGCCCTTGCACCTAGTTTCAAAAGATTTCTACTGATGTTCAGGCGTACAAAAACATCTGAGATCTGCTTTTCTTAGCTTTAGGTTTCATTCTAACTGATCGACAGTAGTATCAGATACCAGAGAGGAGGTCCGTCTGATAGATTTATATCCATTTGGCTTCTTTAATGCATGCTCAGGTTCTTCAGCTGTTTTTTTCTGATATTGCCAGTCTGCCTTGGCCTTTGTATTACTGACTCCTAAATTGTTCCTCAGGGGCTGAACCTAGTTAGTTATGCAACCTGCATGTCTCCCTGCAAAAGTTTAACATAACAACTGAGCCTTTTTATGGACGTTTTGTCCTTGTTTGCCTTTCACTGTGTTGATTTAGTATTTTATTGTTGATCTAATGTCTTAAACTGTTCTCCAGGTGCCTGAGGTTATTAGCAGCATTAGACAGGTGTCCAAGGCTGCTCTTAAGGAGGAAAGCAAGCCCAAGCAAGAGAGTGACGAGTCTTTCTACAACTCCCAGAAATTCGAAGTGCTTTACTGTGGAAAAGTGACAGTCAACCACAAGAAAGCCCCTTCCACTCTGATTGACGACTGCATTGACAAATTCCGCCAACACGAGATTGAACGTAAGCATCTGCGGCTCCTCAATGGCCAGCGCAGCTCCACTGAGGCCCCCGTGGAGTTCATTGTGGGTGACGACCCTCTAAGCTCCTCCCTTTGTGAAGTCGATGAACCTGAGCCCAACTTAAATGAGGAAGAACTGTCTGAGGTGGGCAATGGGAATCTGGACATGACTAGCTCATCCAGTACGGGCAACCTACTGGGGTCCTTTGAATGTATCTTGGAGGACTCAGGTTTTGGGGAGCAGCAGGAGATTCGTACACGCTGTAATAGCCTGGCTGGTGGTCTACAGAAAAGGCCCAGAGAGACGGGCAAGGGATCGACACGTAGGAGACATGCTAGCGCGCCCAATAATGTGCAGCCGTCTGATGCTGACAAGAATCGCACAATGCTATTCCAGGTACTGCATGCAGAAACACGCTTACTTTTAGTCTGTGATTTCATAAACCTTGACAGGTGACTAAAAAAATGGAAATTCTTTCATTGTTTACTCATGTCGGAACACAAAAGATTTAATAAGTCTTTCAACTGTTTTTCACTTTCGAAGAAAGTCAATTCATTTTAGAGTTTTTATCCAAAGCAAACTTCAAAAAAAGGTTAAGATGGGTTTTTAAATGGCTCTTTTATAGTATTTTTATTTCATAGTATTTTTATAGTATCTCAGCCATGAAAATAGTCAATGAAGGTGGCATGGTGTTAAAATGTCAACCAACCAAATTTCAACTGTTTTTGTCTATACAGTGAAAGTTAATAGACAACCCTCTACATTGCGAGTTAATCGCTCACAAATGCACCTTTCTAAATTTCTTGCTAGGCTACTGAATAATGTCTGTCTTTAGCCATTGGCTATTTCACTCACCAGTTAGGCTAAGAATAAGTTTATATTTTTACTGCATGTTGTGTCCTGCTTCAGGTCGCATACACGCCAGCTTCTAGAATACTCTGCCTTAGTGTTTGACAGGAAAGAATGCGTAATCTCATTTCAGGGCATGGGAAGAGCCGTTTAAAATTTAAATAGCCAAAAAAATAGAAATAGTTAACAAAAAATGTACTAGCCAATGGCCATTCTATTGCCAGTGTGTGCATAGAGGGTTGATGGAGTTCAAAACAACTTTGGACCACATTGACTTTCATTTTATGAAACACAAAAATGTTTTTAGTGCTCTATCTTGGGGTGATGCAATGCAAATGTCTTCTCTTTGAGAGGGGATGCGCTACATCTTGCTAATTAGCATGCATGACAGTCATGCAGTCACACGTTTTCCTTTTAAACATTTTGGATATGTGTCTCTACAGTCATTTGGTTAAGAAATCAGTGGCAGCTTCTGCGACCTTGATAAGTAGAATTGTTTTGATGCAAATACTGCTCTCAAAAAACACTGCATGCTGAGTTATCAGTTATCGGACATTTAGCTTGATTTTTTTGTTTTGTTTTGTTTCTGATGCTTCTTTCTCAATAAGCAAAGTATGCTCTCAAATGGCTCTTTTGTGCAGGTTGGACGGTTTGAAGTGAATCTCATCAGCCCTGACACTAAATCTGTGGTTCTGGAGAAGAATTTTAAGGACATCTCGTCATGTTCACAGGTCTGTGTGTGTAAGGATTAGGTTTGTTTGGTTTTAGAGATAATCTCTTTCTCCCTCTCATATTTAATGTCACCATATGTTATCACACAGTGCTTTTCAAAACAAGTACCAAGCTACTGACAGGAGGTTTTGTAGCAGATTTTAGTTTAGAATATTTGTCTTGATTCTGAAATTCTCATAAAAAGATCAAACACTAAAAACATTTCTTACTGTTTTCAGGCAATAAGTCACTCAATTTCATGAGTTACAGTGATTTTACCATAATTAAGGTATGTTTGTAGTAGGGCTGGACGATTAATCTAAAAGAAATCGAAACCGAAATTCAGAAACTCTAACCGACGTAATTTTCCCATGTTGGTTATTTCGGTTTTTTAATCCTATTAATACTTCCCCTTAAAGGGGTCATATGATGTTGCTAAAAAGAAAGTAGAGGAGCTGGGATACACATGCAAACAAGTTCAAGAGGTCCTACAGCAGCAATATGGACTCGGGAGAGGCTCCAGTATTTCCTCCATTTCTAAATTCTGCGCATCGAGGAACATTCATTGTTTTGATTACGCACGGATAGGGAGAGATGGTGTGGATGCAGTCGTTCGATAAGCAGTTACTTTTTGCGGCCCTGTGTACGGTAGAAAGATGATGACTGGAATGTTGAGAGCTTCGGGATACAGGTTGGGCAGGGGCGGCGCCTGAGAATTTTGAACGCAGGTGCTGAGGGGGTGCTAGATCATTGACAGGGGGAGCTGGGCAATTCAGGGCTCCAGACTCATTATTCCCACTAGTCGCTCTTTTGCGACTAACTTTCTCAGTTGGTCGCATGAGCACGAGGTTTAGGGTAGGTGTAGACGTTAATAAACCATAATTTTACAGGTAGCATTTTTCGTTGTTGAATTGTACTACCCACTGTTTAATAGGAGATAGCAAAATCTCACAGGGTAGTACAAATCCACATTACACCGGGCTTCGGATGCTTTCACTTTCGATTTCGCGATCTTGTCACGTTTTACAATAAAAGATAATTGTCTGTTTTGCATACATCTATACACCTTTCACTTTTTAAGACTAAAACAAAATATGGATTCATTGTTATTTTTAATTAAAAAGCACAACAACAATAAAACAGTAAGATACAATGACAAACAAGCTTACAAAACGTTTATTAACAAAAACGAATAAGATGAGGCATGGCATACACCACATGCTGTATTACATAATGACCAATAAATTACAGAACGTTTAGCAAACACTGAGGAATCGAATAAAAATAAATAAATAATAAAAAAGCCTCCATAGCATAACGTGAGGTAAACAGCAAAGATAAGCTTTTCAAACTGAAAACAAAAAGAAAAGTAAAACTAAACTTGCTGCCGGTGACAGTGCTTGCATGTCACACCCCCCACACAAGAATACCAACATGTTCACCTTCTCTGGTTTAAGAAGCGGTCTTTTACTTTACTTTAGCGTGAAAACCATCCACTGTTTCCTCAATATTCGCGTCCTCAGAGCCAGCGCAGCACTGATGAGGCATGAGGGGGCGGCTGAGGTAAGGAAAGGGGGCGATGACGTAGAACAAAGTAAAACAACAACAACAACAAAAAAACACATGTGGCCCATTCATGTATTTGTCGGACCATAACCAAACCTGCTGTGTACTATTAGAATACTGGGTTCACACATATAGTTTTGGTCGCGAGACAGGTCAGTGGAAGTTTTTTT